TTTTTCAAAATTCAAACAAAACGATTACAATATCAATAACTAATAAGTTACCTATAGCTATGTTTTTCTGTAGCTAAATTTTAAATATAACAAGAGATGACAGCCTCTAAACTAAAGGTATTTCGAGACAGACATTAATATTAAAAAGTGATACCTTTTTCCGAATCGATGCAAAACAACTACATGTAAATGTCAATATTTAACGACTGTGGTGTTTTCGATGTCGTTTAGAAACTGAAAAATCTTTTTTTGCAATACGTAGTAAATAAAAGCCTAACTAATGGCATTTCGAGACCAGATACTATTAGGTGATGCTTTTTTTTAAAATCAATCCAAAAAAGAACGAGATATTTGTCAATTTGACAATAATTAATAAGTCTTTTAGAAACTGCAAAATATTTTTCAATAACCAAATTTTTCTTTCGTAAATAATAATAGTATTTGGAGACAAAAAGTGATCTTGTTCAAAATCGACGCAAAGCAATTACGATGTCAATAATTTATAAGTGCTGTATTTTCATTACCTTTTATTTATTTTCATTATCTTATAGAAGCTGAAACATAATAGCTAAGTTTTTCTGTCGCTAAATATTAAGTATAACAAATGACAGCCTTTATTTGAAAGTGACATATCTCTTTCAATTTAGGATGTAGATTAATAACTGTGATATTTTCAATTTCTTTTACAAAACAAAAAAATATTTCTTTTATAAATATGTATGGCAAATGAAGCCAAATTAACAACGGTGGTATTTTTCACCGTTAGATATAGTAAATAAATATGACTATATGACAAACGAAAGCTTTTTAGGTAATGATTTTTCGAGGTAGGTAGGTAATATTAGAAAGTGAGACTTTTTCAAAATCGGTAACAAAAGGTTTATTGGAAGCATTTTTTTTTTCCTACTGGTAGGTAGTTACATTAGTAGCGGTAACACGGGTTCGTTGTACATTGAAAATGTTTATTAAAAGCCTTAAATTTTACCTGCAACGGTACAGTTTCGAAAAAAAGTTGTTTTTTAAGGTGCAGTCAGTCGATGTAGCAGCAGCTAGCGTTTTCAATAGAGTGAAAATTACCAGAAGAGTTGAAATATCGATTGTGCGGTTGGTAAGTAAAGTACCTACCCAAAGCGTGCAATTTCTGCTGCAATCAACCGTTTTCGAACGAAGCTTCTTTTTGTAATTGAGAGACGTATTTTTGCGTTTGATTCGAAATTTTAAATACGAAAGCTACATGTGACAAAGTTCGTTAAACTTGCGATATTTTTTTAAGACTACTTAAAACTTGCTAGAAAAACGTCCAGTTTTAACTTCCTATTGGATATATTTCAGTGGAATAAACTCGATAAGTCCTTTGAGATACTTTTAACACGTAAAGTTTTTAGTCATTTATTTGAACGTGCTCCATAATCCATAACAATTTTAAATTTATAAAGTTAAATTAAATTATAATGCATATTATTAAACGTATGCTACGAGCTTTATCATTTTTGTTGTGCAAACAAGGAAATGACGCACCCTAATCTTTTTCAATTACTTGCATTTAGATAACATACCAAATTTGTAACATTTTGATTTGAATTATAAAACTACCACATATATAAAAGACTTTTTTGTTCATTAAATTAGGCTAGGCCATTTAAAATTCTCAAGCCTAACTCATTGATTCCGATAATAGAAATTTAGGGTATAATTTTTCTTTTCTGCAAGATATGGTTGAACCACAATTATTGAAAATATTTCAGAGGTTCCACGTATCTCGAAATAATTACAAAGAAAAAAGTTTTAAGGGAAAAAAGTGAATCATTCATCCTTGATAGCCATGACGGTTGGATGCACACGATGAAATAAATTCTCACTAAATTTAGTATTCTACAGTACCCACGATTTGCTCAAAACTATCTTGTTTCCAAAGTTTAGGTAACAAACTTTCTATGAAGTAAAAGTGTTAATACTGAGTAAAACTTTCCTAACCGACCAACAACGTAAATTAGTTCTACAAATTCAAATTCGTTGATAAAAAAAATGGTTCTTGTTAGAACGCTTCCATTATTGTAACGACGATACATACAAAAATATATCAGTGTGTAATCTATTTAACGTTATGTACTAATGACGAGTCCTTGAGTCCTTGCTCATATGGACGTATGTATGTACGTGTGTAAGTAGGCAAATAGATCTGATGTTTGCTCTTCAATTTATTCTACATAGGTACCTGTATTTTTGAAGCAAAATACCTACTACCTATAACACTTTGAAAGAGAAACAAAACTTATTACGTAATAGGATAAATTATTTATTGAAAGGAAAAGGTATGGGCGTAGACGATTTGCGCTCCGCGGTCAGTCCCTAAATGAAATTATTTAAGGATTTTTGGGAGGTACAATCCGAGACAAGAGTAGGTACATAAAATTAGAAATTCGTGATTAATTAGTTAATTCATGAGGTAAATAAATACTATCTACACTTAAAAAAAAAGTATACGGTTTGAGAGAAAATTTGGAATTAGACCAAAAACTTTGAATAAAATAAGAAATAACGAATAATATGGAAAATTTTTAACTGACTTGGCAGTCAATGTGCCTTGATTTCAACTTCGAAATAAAAAATATTTAGTTTCAATCTTTATTAATAATGAGCGTAAAACTTTTTAATATGTTTAAATAATAATTAAAACTTTAAAATTGCATTTATTTCAGACAATTATAAATATTATCATTATATTATCAAGTAAAAACGAGATTTTCAGCTAATTTTTCATTTTTTCCTCGATAACCATTTAGTGAATTTGAATAACCTTACGCTAAAGTGATTCTCCAGAGTTCAAGTTACTTATTATAAAAGTTTGAAATTTCTGGTAGCTTTTTTTCTGTTAATAAAAATAAATTTAATCTGTTCGGTTAACGAATCTCCATAAAATGACGTGTAAAATTACAATTTTTTAAAATTTCAATAACTTTTTAACGGTTTAGTGAATCGATTTGCAATTTTTACAGGAGTTTTAGAATTGAATGTTCTGGTAGCTTTTTTTCTGTTAATAAAAATAAATTTAATCTGTTCGGTTAACGAATCTCCATAAAATGACGTGTAAAATTACAATTCTTTAAAATTTCAATAACTTTTTAACGGTTTAGTGAATGGATTTGTAATTTTTACAAGAGTTTTAGAATTGAATGAGGAACGTTCTTCCAAATTTTTATTTGTCTCGTAGCATTTTGACATACTTCCCAAACATCCTTAATCTCCAAAAAGGTTATGGTATAGTTGCCCCCCCCCCCAATATCAATTTGTGTATAATTAGGTAGGTACCTAGGTATATATCTTTACGATATATTGGTATATAAGATTATTCTTATGTCCTTTATAGGGTGAATCTGGCTGTTCGCCTACCTGCTTTAGATCTCGATCACTTTTTTAAATGTCAATAATAAGTAAAAAAACCGCCAAACATGATTAAAGATTTTATTGAATTAGTTTTCGACCACTTTATCCTATATAAAACTGGGGTGCCTCTCTTCAAAGCTATGTGTTTCATCCCGTGAAAAATAAGTAAATATTGAGCACATAGGTAGAAGGTAGAAAAAAGATATTAAAATTTGTATTTTTTTCCATAAAAAACATTTGTTTACAAACATCGAGAACCAACTTGAAAGTGATCGACAATTGCGATGGTCCTAAACAGGGTAAACGTGCATTCTTTAGAATATCATCAATTAATTTATCAATTACAAATAAAAACCCGNGTAAATCTATCTAAAGACTTGATATATTCAAATAATTATATAAAATATTTATTACGTCAATAGAAATTTTATGAATTTGGGTTCAACTGACCGCGGGGCGCAACTTATATATACCAAAAGGTACAGTAGGGTGTTGGCAATCGCCAGTGTGCATGTACCACTCCTAAAAATTTCGATGACCTATCGAAATTCCTACTTGCTGTTACTATTATTATTAAAAAAAATATTATTATTTTATTCTCCTCTAATTAACTTTCGTCATAAAAAAATAACATGAAATTGTTGTTGCCAAAAACAAAACGAATTATCGATCGTTTTTTATATCGAATTGTATTAACATTGTATCGGTTTTAAATTACGCCCACACAAAAACGCCTTAGCAATGTTAAACATTTGTGAGCACCAATTTACAATTCAAAAAGTGGCGTTTTTTTTTTTCGCGTTTTGACGATTTGTAAATAGTCAAGTGGGTGCCATACATATCACTCACTACAACAATTTGTAGAATTATTAAATTCACAATCCGTTGAGTAATAACTTAAACAAACTTGCCCGACGTTCTTATCGAAATTTATCGGAACACCTTTTTGGTACCTGTAGTTACAACGTTACGCATGTGTTACTTTTGAAGTAGATTTCTTCAAATAATCAAAACTAGTATTATGCCATGTGAGATAGGTTCGTGTAGATGCGGTTGTATAATAATAATCAATCACATGAGCACGATTTGATTTATCCACAGATAGATATGTATGTACTTAAGTGTGATATACAGTAGTACCTCTTTACTATTACTGCTCATCTTATATACACAACGGCCAATGCCCTTTTCGAAGGAAATAGAACCGGAAGAATAACTTTTTTCAACAGCAGCAGCAGCAGCTCATTCATTATTATTTCGCGAATAGGTAAATAACTTTACATTAGATTCTGTCTCGCTTGGCGCGCCACCTTTAACCCCGAAACAAAAAATCAGTACGATATGAAATCGGCCTTCTTCACTTAACAATAACAACAACAAACATCAAATGCAACCAGGTGAATAAGAAACAGTAAAAGAAAAGAAAAAAATCGCAACAAGCAGTCAGTTACATGTACGTATGTATGTAGTAGTGTGTCGATTACTGCAACAGTTACATCATTTGCTAATCAAAAAAGAAACACTTGTGTGACGCAGTTGCCGATTTTTTGTAGTACAATTTAAACTGTACCTAAATGTACGTGTTTGAACCGATTTGAAATTAGACAGGTTCTAACCTTTGATAAGGGGAGGATATGCTGGCAATCCCCAGGATGTTGGTTCTACCGGTGCATTAGTGTCCACCAATGGGGAGGTACCGAAAGCACGAAACATCGTGCAAATAACTTTTGACGAGAGTTCTACACTCGCGCAATGTTGGTCACAGACTAACTGTGGTGTAGTTTTAGCTTTTAAGTTCCGCAAACACAGTAATATAAACGCTGTCTCTCCCCGCACTTGATATACATCACCAGCACGGAGTTTTATGCACTCCAACGCGCCGATGTTACTTAAGCCACTTCTCTCCGAAACCACCTAAATCCATCGTTTTTTAATCAAATCCAAAAAAACGGTCATTATATTGTATTTAGAACAATGACAGCTCATAATATAAAAAAATCAGAACATTATCGAACAATGACTGAATAAACCCAGCATATCCATAAGAGCTAGGAAACTGCAGAACACATACAATATCAGGCATTAATTAATTATCATCATAATTCCTAAGACTGGTTGGGTACGCACCGCGAGTTCTTCCTATCTTGAGCTAATCTCCACATTTCTCGAAAACTAACGCATATCTAAATCTTTAACTATTTGCGAACAGTAATTTGAAACTCCTATTTCTGTTTCTAATATGTCTGTAACTAGCCCTTCACGTCTGAAGATGTATCATACTCTATGTCGCCTATTTCTTATTGACTTCCATTACGCCCTATGTTCTCCTACTCTTTCCGAAACCTCATCATTTCCAACCTTTTCCTTTAATACCACATCTCACAGTTTTAATTTTTTCTTTTCCGCAGCGCCCACCGTCCACGTTTTATACCCATAGAATTCGTTCTAACGGATCATCTCGAAACTGCGCGCACAATGCAACCACATAACCAAAATGTGTTCACAGCGAAAAATCGTGCTCATTCCTTTATCTTTTTATGGTACGTGATTTAGTATGCAAACATACATTGTATGTAGGTTTAATGATCGACTCGGCAGCGATTCAGTTGATTCCTACGTTAACAAAAGTTTTTATTTTATAAAAATAAAATTATAGTAAAAGAACTTAAAATAGAAGTGAATATAGGAAAATTAGTGAAGAAAACCTAGTACGTAACAACTTCGTAGATATTGGTAATAATAAAGTTTTTGTAATTCTATCAAAAATATCTAGAATATTTTTGAGACGTAATATTAGTAAATAATTAAAGTATTTGTAATAAGGATTTCGGATAATAGCGGTTTAATTTTATTGAAGTAGCTAAAAAAATATTGCTTATAAGCCCGTTCTCGCCTATCCATACGTACTTATTATAATAACAAATGTAATGCTAAGCTGTTAGAACTAGATTAACTAAATGAGTTAATGTGTACATCGGCCGTTATTGCTTACTATACCTACTATTGACACTGAAATTTTACTAAAATATGTATTACACATTACGGTGTAAATTAGGGCTTAACTACAGACCGTAGTAGGTACCTACAAGTACAAAACAAAAAAGTATTGCTACATTCAGAAATGTCAATGCAACATTGTGTATTCATCATCTTTATTTTATTTTTTGTTCCTACTAGAAAAATAATAAAATAAAAAACGATTTGGAAACGTAGTCGAAGGCAATAAATTTGTTTACGGAATATGCAATAAACAATATAACAATCGAAAACAGAAGCGAAAAATTATTTTGAAATTAATTATTTATTCATTGGTAGATCAGAGGTCGTTTATATTTAATGGCCATGAGAAATATAGAGTACATTAACTCCATGAAAGGTGAGTTTTTTTCATATCTATAACAAAAAAAAATCAAAAGTTAACCTATAGTTTCCTTATTATGGTAATACCTATGTATACGTATTGTACTATACGTTGATTTCATATTATACATATTTATGTATAGGTACGCGATGAAAATGAATGAATATAAGTGATTGACTTATATGTAATTATAACCTTACATAAAAGAAAGTTTCCAAAAATTTATTTGTAATTTTATTTGGAACGATTGGTTAAAAAGATGAGAAATATCTGGCAACAGCTTTGGTTGTTTAAAATTAACCATTGAAAATTATGTAATACCTACCTATAGCGGAATTCGTTTCCATTTTTAAAGGCTAAAAACGCTTGATTTGCTCTATCAAAAAGAATAGTTTACTTACAATTCACTTTCATCGTTAATTGTTTTTTTTCTGCTATCAATTTCTTTACGACTACTGATGCAAGTAATTTTGCTTGCAAAAATTTTAAGCTCTATTTTACTTGAGCACGATTTCCTGTAGAAAATTGTCACAATTATTTATCGAATTCTATTCTTTCAAGAGAAAGTGTTAAATGAATAATACTTAACTTGACTTCAAAATTCACTAGAACATTTCATGGATCAAAGGACAAATCATTTACTTTACAATATTTTATTATTCTAGTTATAAAATTATTTGAAATAATTGAATAATTATTTAGTCTTACCTTGAGGAAAGACTGCATTTATTTTTATATTATTTTTTTATAAATATAATACATTTGACCTTCGCTACACTTTTCGATAAGCAGAACAGCAACAAATTTTGTATATGTATTATTAATACGCTTCAAGTAGAAGTAATGCATCAGTGATAACTGAGATTGATCAAAAAATTAAAATCGAAAGCTATAATATTCATAATGAATACGAATGTAAAAATAACGATTACGAATTATACATATACAGTGAAAATTGTGTAACTCGAAATCTTTTTTAATTCGAGTAGTTTTTTTGTCCCCTTGACATCCATATTGCTTTGCATTTATTCCAAACCCTTCAATTACTATCTCTTAATTTCTCTAACTCGAGATTCGAGGGCGGGATTTACATTGTAAATTGTACCTTTAATTCAAATTTCTATTTAATTTTCATCGGAAAAATCAGCCGCAGCGATAATCGAGTTGGCTAGAGTTGGCTTTAAGCGAAACTATGTACTCCTAGCATAAATTTTCACAAGATTGTACAGTAGAACCTCTATAACTATCACATGAGAGACGGCAAAAAATTCGAGTTATGGTGTTTTCGACTTATGAAGGATTTTGATTCGACTTGTAGGTTGTGTACTAACACTGTCGGTAAATTTACCATCGTATAGCAAAAAACCCATCTAAATGTAATAAGAACCGTTTGCTATGTGTATTTTATGTTATTGTTATCATACAAATACAAATAGCACACAAACAATTTCAATAACGCGAAAAATTCCTGAATTATCTTGTTATCAAAGAAATTTTCTACATTTGCTGAAGAACTTTGTTTCTTTTTTTTTTTTTAAAGAATATATATAGTAAGCAGTGTAAATTTATTTTACACGTAATTTTAAAAAAATATATGTGTATCAATAGCAAACATTGAGTAACTGATTATATGAACACGTTATTAGTAAAGTTGTTTTGGAATGAGTTCTTTAATAATACAAAAGCCATCAGCTTCGAATTTAAAACACGTTTATGCGTATTTACTAAATGTTAATAGGTATTTGTGCAGTCGAATGCACCAGAAAGAAAAACTAACCTTCGTTTGTTGTCATTTTCATATTATTGATAACAATAATAGCATATGTTATGTAAACTAAAATGTTTTTTTTACAATCATCAAGTTTGTCGTACAAACAAACAAATTTTTCTCATTTATGCGGATGTTGCAAAAAATTTGCTATAATTGAAAAATGATATAAAAGTAGTAATTTTTTTTGGTTTACTATTAGTGAAAAAAAAAATAGTAACTGTGCTGTCCTCCTTTTTGTATGCAGAATTTTTAAGTACAATAATTAGAATTAATTGCCAATTGATTTGTGTCCGTTGATGCAGCAAAATATTAGTGACAAACAATTAGCAACTAGATACAAATAGATAAAATATATTTTCTTTTTAAAAAGGATCTTATTGTCAGCCTTGAAATAAACTTAACCTTCATGATCGCGAAACAGAAGTACGGAGTAGTTATTGATTTAATTAACGTATAACCATCAAGGCACTAACCAGCGTTACACGTTTCTAAGCCGCTGCAACCTTTAAAATAAATATAGACAGTGTATAACATAATATAACGTAAGTAAATAGAGAGTATCTATTCATATGTACGTGTAAGTAAATGTACATTTACACAAGAAAATAATGTAATGCTCGTATAGATTTTTCATATTAAGGTTATGAGCGACCGAAAAACCGTTTTTCAAAAAATATTACAATTCTGTCGTTTTGATGGGCCTGAGCAGAAATTATGTAACGCAAATTGGAGGGAGGGGGCGTTCCGGTCTTCTTACGTGGGAGGAGGTGAAGGTCAAGGTGTGCGTTACGTGGCGATTTTAAAACCGAAAAGTTGGCGATATGTAGCATTGTCAAAATAAAATTCTGTCATCTTATAAATTAATATCCGTCGTTCAGAAATGTGACGCCACATAATTGCCGTTTGTATTGTTTATTTGAATGTAAATTATTAATTAGAAACTAAAAAAGTCATTCTTCACCGAATTCAAATCTGAAACTTATACAATGCGTTAGGTAATAAGCGGGAGGAGGGAGGTTGGGCTTTACGGTCGTGTTTCGTGGGTGGTGGGGTCAGAAATTGAGTAATTTTACGTTTTTCTTTATAAAAATTAAAAATTTAAATTCTTAGCAGCTTCAGGGCAGATACGCAAATTACGGATGAAATATTTTCATGTTTAAAGAAAAAATTAAATAGAAAACAACGAGTATATGCTATTTTTATTATTGTATTCCCGAATTAAATTATCATAACTTTCTAAAATATAAATGTGAATTTGTTTTAGAAAATACTACAAATAGCGCAGTAAACGCCATCTGTAGCACGATGCTACATTTTAGGATTACGTATACAGACCACTTCGAATTATTTTAGTGAATTTGTTTGTCTGTTACCATTTCACACCTTAACTACTCAATCGATCATCATGAAATTTTGTACAAACATTGTCAGGGGTACAAAAAATAATATCCAGGAAATAAATACTGTTCCCGAGGGATAGAGAAAAAAATAATTATATTATTATAATGTTTAGGACATAAACACAAGGGAAGCCACGAACAAAAGGTAGTTCTGCATAATCGACATTGTATACGAGTACTTAATGGTTTTTATTGAACCGATTCCTTCCAAAACTACCGCATTTGAAATTTTGGTAGTTACGATTGAAAATG